AAAAATTTTCAAGATCTGGAAATCTAACAACTATGGTAACCAAGCTAAAATTATCAAAATAAACATCAATAGATATATTTCGAAAAAGAAAAAACAAAAAAAATTACCTAGTACTCTGGTAGTAGCTTGTGAGACTCCCGATGCTCTGAGGAACGTCGGCGATCAGCAACACTTCACTTGACGGTCAGATTCACGGTGACATGAGGATTGGCCGGTGGGTGTGAGTCGCAATAGACAGAAGCGCAGCTTGGCCGGTGGGTGTGAGTCAAACAGAAGCGCAGCTTGGCCGGTGGGTGTGAACCTTGGGGGTTGTGAGTCGCAATGGACAGAAGAGCAGCTGGAGAAGAAAGTAAAGTAGAGAGCAGGAGGGTAGGTGTGAAGGAGAAGACAAAAGTAATGAAGGAAAATAGAGGGTGGTTGGCTGACAAAGTAGAGAAGAAAGGAGAAAAGAGAGAATAAAAAGATCGCTGGCAGGATTCGATGTCCAATCTACTGTTCACACGCATGTTTCCTATTTTGAAAACAAGTTTTTTTTTGTTTTCTGATTTCTAGCAAAAAACGGAAGATTGTTTTCAAATTTGGAAATGAGAAAAAACTATAGTAAACACATTGGGTTGTTTTCAATTTTCAATTCTTGGAAATTCTTGAAAATTTCCTGTTAGTAAACGCCCCCTGAATCTCCGTCCATATTTCATGCAGATTTCTTCCTTCTTCATCATCATCATCGTCTTCTTCTTCTTCTTCTTCTTCGTCATGCTTATTAGATGATTCGGGGATGGCAGCAGGGAGAGAAACTCTGCATTTCAGGGATGAATATGGCTTTTGGGGAGATGATAGTGTTAAGGGAAAGAAAGAATTGGAAGACGCAATTTTAACGTATGTTATTGATATACGGCGATCGCATTTCGTAATTGTGACGGCCGTATACAATACCAAAGACGCAATTTCCAGATGCGTCTTTGGTAAAGTATAAAAAAAAAAAAAAAAAAAAAAAAAAAAAAAAAAAAAAACATGGGACATGCTAAAAACGCATGTCCCAAATGTTTTTTTTTTTTCATATTTTAGTCCAAAAAAAAAAAAGTGTCCTATTTTTGAAAATGGACCAGTCCTTTGTCACATTATAGTCTTTTTTTCCGAAAGCAATTTGCGTATTGGCGTAGAGCAGCTGCTGTGCATGGTGAGGGCAAAAATGTCTTCACATTCCTATTTTTTCTCCCATTCAACACTAAATTGTAATTCTTTGAGTGGAAGTCTGGATTACAATTCAACATTTGGTCCAACCAAACCACGTAATCAGGGGCACGGAAGGAATGTGTGAAGCGGGCTTCCTTACGTTTCTCGTCATCCCTTTTCTTGTCTTCTACATTTTATCTCACTTCACTTCTGAACTTCCCTCAACAGCAGTTATACTTACCAGTATACAGACCCATACCATTAACTAAAACCATTTTCTTCTTTACAACAATGGAAGTTCAAGTTCCAAGAAATCCTAAACCATCCAAATTAATTTCCTCTTCCCTTTACATTTTTCTTGTTGGAGGATCTAATCAGCATAGCCTTAAATCTATTTCTGGGTTGAGCTTTGGCAGATTATGGGAAGACTTATATTGATCGCCGTTTTGGTTGTTGTGAGTTGTTCGAGGGAGGTTGTTGGGAGCAGAGGACACCATGGGTGGCGCAGCTTCGACTACTCTGCTATCAGCTGCAGGCCCTTCACGGCGACGTTGACGGATTTCGGGGGAGTCGGCGATGGAGTTGCGTTGAACACCAAAGCTTTCCGGTTGGCAGTCAATTTCCTCAGCCGGTTCGGACCGGTGGGTGGGGCGATGCTGTATGTACCCCCCGGGAAATGGCTCACCGGCAGCTTCAATCTCACCAGCCATTTCACACTGTTTCTCGATCAAGACGCCGTTATTCTTGGTTCTCAGGTTCGGTTTTCTCCTTAACCCTTTGGTAATCTTACCGGACTTTGGTGGTAAGGATAGAATTAAGGCGGATAAGAATTGTAATTTCAGATGACAATTAGCACTAGGGTGTTTATAGAACAGAGCTTTCATCAAACTACTGGTATTCGTGTTGGGTAAACGTTTGTTTATATTCGTTTATTAAGGTAAATAAATATAAATGAATAAATTTTAGAGCTCAATTCATAAACAAACAGAGTGTGAACAGTTGTAGTCTCGTTTGTTAAGAGCTCGTGAACAAACTCGTTTAGTGTTCGTTGAATATATATATATATATATATATATATATATATATATATATATATATATATATATATATATAGAGAGAGAGAGAGAGAAAGAGAAGGGTTCAGGTGCGGATATAGCTTCCTGTGTGATTATGCGGGTGATTAATGTGCGTGAGTTTTGTACTTAGTGCGCGTGAGTATTGTGCTTAAGGTGCGTGCTTAATATGCGTGAGTTTTAACACAAACTCACGCACAAAAGTCACTCATCTTAAGCACAACCCTCACGCATCTTAAAGCACAAAACTCACGCACCTTAAACACAAAAATACATGCACTTAAGTTTTAACAACTCACATTAAGTACATACTCACGCACATTAAGTACAAAATTAACGCACCTTAAGCACAAGACTACCACACCTTAAGCACACAAATATCAGACACATTAAGCACAAACATCATGCATTTTAAAGTTTTAACAAACAACTCACATTAAGTACACACTCACGCACTTTAGGCACAACACTCACACATCTTAAGTACAAAACTCACGCACATTAACATTACACACTCACGCATATTAAGTACAAATCTCAGACACATTAAGCACAAGACTCACGCACATTAATCAACCGCACAACCGCACGGGAAGCATTCAATCGCACTGGAATCTTTCCATATATATATATATATATAATTTTATATATATAATTTTATAATAAAGTAATTTAAGGCCATCTCATTCATTGTAGTTGTGTTGTTTGGTTGTTGTTCGTGAACGTAGATTATTTCTTGTTCACAAACGAATTATGACCATAAATATGTGCAGGTATTTGGTTATTAAGTGTTCACGAACGTGTTCATGAACGCAAACAAACATGTTTGTGAACGTGTTCGCGAACATTAACAAACACTAATGACACTATTAGATGCTTAACAAACGAACACGAACACTTCAAAATTCTTAACAAACGAACACGAACAACCTCTATTCGTTTATGTTCGATCGGTTCGTTAATAGCCCTAATTGGCACTTCAACAAAAGTCAAAAACCAGATTTAAACTAAAAAAAGATGCTAGTTTTCATACCTCCTAACCAAAATAGACTGGTTAATGGTTTAATTTTTATAGTTCGGGTTTATAATATGTTCACGAGGCTGGTTAGTTTATGTGGATGTATAGTTAATGAAATGCTGTTTATCCATTCTTGTTTCTGCATTCGGTATATAACTGATTCAGGACGAGAATGATTATCCGGTGATTAAACCCCTACCATCCTATGGTCGAGGAAGGGACAATGAGGGTGGGCGGTTCATAAGTCTCATCTTTGGAACCAACCTTACAGACGTTGTTATAACAGGTATAAAAGCTAGAAACTTGGTACGTAGTTAACTGAAAACATGAATAAATCTGCACAAATTGCGAGATTGTTCATGATAATTATTGTTTTATCAGGGAATAATGGAACACTTGACGGCCAAGGAAGTCCTTGGTGGGACAAATATCGTAACCGCACGCTAAATCATACGAGGCCTTACTTGATCGAAATCATGTACTCTAAACATATTCAAATCTCCAACATCACTCTTTTAAATTCTCCGAATTGGAATGTTCATCCTGTGTACAGCAGGTCAGTTAATTGGTATAGATAATCTTCTTAGTCTTTTCGACTTGAAGTCTTGAACTGATTTCCTATAAAACGCAGCGACATTATCATCGAATGGATCACGATTCTTGCCCCGACAAGATCCGCGAATACAGATGGAATCAACCCAGGTATGCAATGCTAAACACCAAAGTTTCTTATAAGATTATTCAAGAATTAATGCAAGAAGTACATATTCTGTGTTGTCTGTTCTTTAGACTCGTGTACAAACATACGAATTCAGGACTGTTACATTGTCTCGGGAGACGATTGTATTGCTGTGAAGAGCGGGTGGGATGAGTATGGAATTGCGTTTGGGATGCCAACCAAACAGGTAGTCATCAGGCGGGTAACCTGCATTTCTCCAACTAGTGCTATAATTGCACTAGGCAGCGAGATGTCTGGAGGAATCGAGGATGTCCGGGCAGAGGACATTCTCGCGATTGATACCGAATCTGCAGTGAGGATCAAGACAGGAGTTGGGAGGGGAGGATATGTGAAGGATATATACGTGAGGCGTGTGACCATGAAAACGATGAAATACGTGTTCTGGATGACAGGGAACTATGGCTCTCACCCTGACGATAAGTATGACCCGAATGCTCTGCCCGTCATCAAGAACATCAACTACCGAGACATGGTGGCCGAGAACGCGAGAATGGCAGCACGGTTGGAGGGGATTCTGGGCGATACATTCACCGGAATCTGCATATCTAATGTCACCATTGGGTTGGCACAAGATGCTAAGAAAGTCCCATGGAAATGCACGGACATTTCTGGGGTTACAAGTGGTGTGGTTCCTCAACCTTGTGATCTTTTGCCAGACCAGGGACCAAAAAAGGTTTCATGTTATTTCCCAACAGAGACTTTGCCAATTGAGAATGTTGAAGTTCAGACATGTGCTTTCAGACAGAAATTACATATGGTATAATGTGTACTAAAATCACCTGTAAAGATAATCTTAAAAAAAAAAGATAATCTTAAAAAAAAGGAAAAACAGTTGTCTGGGGCAACCTCAGTCAAGTTGGTCAGACAGTTATACGTAGTGACTGTAAGCATGTATTTAAATTAAAGATAAATTAAAGATAATAAGAATGGATTGATGCAACTTCTTCCTTGTTGGAACCAATTAATGAACTATACATTATACAATAACATTTCTCATTTCACTCTCTCATATTCAATCAAAATAATTCAAAAATCCCGGGTATATAATAATAAACAAAAGAAAGAAAGAATAAAATAAAATTAAAAATAATAATAAATCAATCATATTGAAGAAGGAAAAGACGAGGATAGTATGGGTCCGATGTTTGATGTTGTCGGCACACCAAGTTCTTCTCCATTATCTGTTTGATCCCAGAACAGAAAGCTGCCGGGGCACTGATGTTGTGTGTCGACGGCGGCCCATTCGCTCACGTGATCACTCTCACGTGCCAGAGCTATGTTACACGGTGGCGCCGGCACCTCCACGGACGGCGGCGGCGGCAGCGTCATGATGTTCTCCATTAACGGCGGTAATAATAAGTAACCGGAATCCATGCCCATACTGAACGACGCCGCCGCCTGAAGCTCTTGCTGCCAAAATGCCGCCGGCGAATCTTGAAACGGCTGATCAGCGGCGGCGGCTCGGTCGTCGGTGAAGTCCCCGTTAACTCCTTCCAGCGCGGCGGCGTTAGCGTCAAACGGAAAGAATGGATTAGTATTAGTATTAGGAAATGGAAATAGGGTTTGTCGGAGTTGGAGGGAATCTTGGGTGTTGAAGAAATCAAGTTGATTATTATTGGTAGTGTTAATGAAAGAAAATGGTGAGGTTTGAGGTTGGAGAAGACGATGGTCGTTTGTAGTAGTAGGAGGAGTTGTATCAGAGGTTGTAGTGTTTGTATGAGATGTTGATAATAGAGGCTTTTTAAGCTTCTTTTTAATCCAAGAATTCCAATAATTCTTTATCTCATTGTCTGTCCTCCCTGGCAAGTGACTTGCAATGTGTGCCCATCTGCAGTTGAAAAAAAAATAAATTAATTCAACTAGTAAATTAAAGATTGAATATATAGGACAACATTCAAGGCTCCCTCATACCCCGACTTAACAAAGCATTTGATCAAATATCGTACGCACAAGAAATCTGTCCACTTTGAATATAATCTTCACACTATAATTGTCGAATTCGAACATTAGTCTCTTCTTTTAAATATTACCTAATGAATCAGCCCGTACGAGCAACCATTGGTGAATCTTGATAGGCCACTGTGATCATCTCATTTGAACCAAATATATCATATGAAAATGCATGTGAATGTGCAAAGCTATAAAATACATCTTATGTTATATAAAAGTACATTCAAGAAGTTGTGTATCTTATCATATCGCAAATTATGTCCTGAAAACGTGTTCACCATGAATGGTGAACACAAGTCCAAACGACGTCGTTTTTACGCAAAAAAAAATAAAAATCGCGGATGTGGAGTTAACGGCGGGCGTTTGATCAAATTATGAATTTTCTGTTATGAGATTATGAATGTAATGAAAATTCATAATCTCATAACAGAAAATTCATAATCGCATAAAAGTAAAATATTTATTAAATTATGAATTTTCTGTTATGAGATTATGAATTTTCTGTTATGAGAATGAGATTATGAATGTAATGTAGATTCATAATCTCATAACAGAAAATTCATAATCTCATAACAGAAAATTCATAATCTCATAACTGAAAATTCATAATCTCATAACGAAAATTCATAATCTTATAACAGAAAATTCATAATCTTATAACAGAAAATTCATAATCTCATAACAGAAAATTCATAATCTCATGGTTCCAAAGTGAATGTGTAGGCATGGTTCCAAAGTGAATGTGCAGGCATGGATTCATAATTTATGAATGTCCGTGATTTCGGACGGGAATGTGTAGGCATGGTTCCAAAGTGAATGTGCAGGCATGAATTCATAATTTATGAATGTCCGAAATCATTGCTCACCTCAAATTAAAGTGAAACCGCGAAATGTGAAAATGAAGAAGAAAAATCACGCAATTAATTAAGAAAAAAAAAAAAAAAAAGATAACGATGTACTAACACCGTTGGAACCGTGTTCTAAAATTGCAACTTAAAAAATTGTGTATTTTGTAATTTTGCGTAATTTACTTTTATGCTCGCATTTTCATTTAATGTAGCCTTTATATACATAGTTTCATTATCAATTTAAACTTCTAGTACAGTGTATCGAAATGAAACAGATTATTTAATTGAGGTTACACCTTCATTGAAATTTCCTTATTTTAAAATTAAAAACTGAAAAATTAAAAGTAAACCCAAATTATACTTTTCCTCTAAGAAATTACAAAATTAGCCAGGAAAGCCTAGACAGTGGCGTAGAATACTGTTCTATTAATTTAGTTTAACTATATGATCAAACTGCTAAATATGACACTGTTTAAACTAATTTGATAGTAAAATTCTTGTAAAAGTGGGTTTTAATTTCTCATAATTAATAACTTATTGATTAGAATAAGGAAAAAAAAAAACAAAACAAAACAAAACGTAATTTGTAAGTGTACATTATGAGTTCATTAAGACATGAAAGAATTTTAAAACTGAGTTTAATTGGAAAAAAACATTGCTTAAACTTGTTTCAAACTGATACATATCACTGAACTACATACTTTCACATCATCATCATCCTCTTGTCCTTTCAAAGAAAAACGTTTTGCTCCTTCATAAACTTGTTAAATTTTAATTTTTTTGAGTCACAAAAGATCGAAACTCACGTCCACTACAAAGTTTAAACTGGGTAAAATAAACTACGCATTGTAACCTTAACTGACAAATGATCATAAGGGTAAACCATGTTGTCTATAAGGCAACTAGTGACCAGTTTAAACAAAGAAGGCCAATATAAACTGTTCCCATTGAAAATTGAATTTGTAACTTTATAGTTACCAAGTCAACAAATTGACTAACTTGGTTGGAGATTTTGCCGAGATTATTTACCTGTTTCCAACAACTCCATGAAGGCTTATGATCAACTTCTCCTCTTCTGGGGAAAATCTCCCTCTTCTTATATCCGGCCTCAAGTAGTTTATCCATCTCAACCGGCAACTCTTCCCACACCTTTGAAGACCTAATTAACATCGTACAACCAGGAAACATTAACAACAACAACAACAAAAAAAAAAAAAAAAAAAAAAAAAAGAAAGACCATGTATAGCATTGATTCTGGAGAATCTAGCCATGCCATAATGCAGGCATGTTGCAGTGAATAATGCAGAAAGTATATATATATACAGTAAGAAAAAGACCAGCTTTCTCAGGGACTTCGCTCCAGCAGCCATAGCCATGAGTGGTGATATATCTTATGAGCTTTTCATCTTCTTCCGGCGACCAAAGCCCTCTCTTCACCTTTTGCTGGTTGCAGCAAGAATGGTGCCCCATTTTTAGTTTTCTCTCTGTTAATCTCTTTGTTAACAATATCTGTTTAATTGGTAAGTTTGCCTATGATTAATTGGTTATAAAAATGGAGTTGTGAGATGGCCTTCCCATTTGATCACTTTCCTATAAATACAACGAGAATTGAAGGAATTAGAAAGAGGCGACAGAGGGGACTGTGGAAGGGGCCCCATGTTTCCATCTAACCCTAAAACGACATTCCATCAAACTTTATGTTGTGTGTATCAGAGGGCACTGTTCTAATTTAATTTAAATTTGATTCTTTCGTTTCCATCTACATCGTAGACATGTACTACGTTGTTATAACTCCCATTTTTTGCGTTCGTGAGTACGTCGAGAAAATAAAACCATGCCGGTTGGTTTGCACGTAGATCACCGCCTGGCTGCTACGCTGCCACCTTTCACCACCCATCTTTTTCTTGCTTTCCTTTTTTGCGCTCTCCTTAAGTCACGCACGGGAAAATTCTTTTGTGGCCCATTATCTTTAGATTAAGCCTCACCTACATCATGTATGATTGTATGTGCAGCAGAAAATCAAGAAAATTAACAAATTGACCTTTAAAGAAGAAAGGGTATCTCAAATTACTATGTGACTCTAAATCTTATACAAGATAATAATTAGGGAAAAGGACTTTAACCGTCTTTCAACTATACTGATTGCACAATTCAAATATATATATATATATATATATATATATATATATATATATATATATATATATATATATATATATAGAGAGAGAGAGAGAGAGAGAGAATTAGGTTCTGGTGCGGTTAGTAGTCCCAGGTGTGGTTGTGTGGTTAAATCTGAGCCATTGATCTTGTTTAAATCAACGTCCAAGATTACCAAAATTTAAAAAAAAAAAAAAATACGGTGACAATTTGGTAATTTTTGCATCTAGGTAAATTTAAGGTGCTTGGGTTTGGGCTTAATGGGCATGAGTTTTGTGCTTAATGTGCGTGTGGTTTGTGTTTAAGGTGCGTGGAGTTTGTGCTTAAGGTGTGGGTTGCGTGCTTAATGTGAGTAGTTACGTTGTTGAAACTTAAGGTGCGTGAGGTTTGTGCTTAAGGTGCATGGGGTTTGTGTTTAAGGTGCACCGTGCGTGGGTTAGTGCTTAATGTGAGTAATTGTGTGAAACTTAATTAAGGTGTGTGAATTTTTGTGCTTAATGTGCGTGAGTTTTGCGCTTAAGGTGCGTCAGTGTTATAAACTAAGATGCGCGAAGTTAATACTTAATGTGCGTCATTTTAATGCTTAAGGTGCATTCAATCGCACAACCGCACGGGAAGACCTCTTATTAATTAGCATTTAAAACAACACACACACACACCTTTTTGTCCATTCGATCAAAATTAATCTATGGCTAAGATCTTATCTCATTTTTCACCTGGGACTTCCTTTGCACGTGAACCAATCCGTGTATATATGTACTCCTTCACTCAAGTGCTTTTTTTTTTTTTTTTTTTTTTAAAGAAAACTGCAGCCACTATTCGAGTGTGTGTAATATGAGGTAAATCCCGCCATGGGGTAAACTATACTAAGAAAATCTTGTGTCACAGGTTCGACCGAGAAGGTATTCACAAAAATAGTACTCGTGACTTTCTGATATAAGAATCATGTTCCACCGACTTGCAGGTCACTACTTTCGGAGTAAATTTTACCTATTTTAATCCTATAAATGGTCAAATAAGTACATTTTTTCAAATCAAGAGGAAAGGGACACCCAACAAAGAACTAAACCACGACGACTGAAACACACCTCAGCCTCCAGACAACAAACGTATTTTGGAGAAGTGGAGCGGGACTCTTAGGCTCTGTTTGGCACACCTAGTTAAAAAATTAGTTGAAAGCTGAAAGCTGAAAATCTAGTATGTAATAAGTTAACTAATTGAAATTAAAGTGTTTGATAAAATTAATTGTTGAATTAACTGATAAGTATAAAAAGACATAAAAGGATAAATTAAGATATTAAGATTTTGATTAATGAAAGGTAGATGGTATCATTTTTTGTAAATTAATAAAGATAAAATAAAAAATAAAAAGCGAGAAACTTATTTTGAAACGCTATTTAGAGTAGTAATTTTGATTAAAAAAATTATTATTTTAAACTACCCATATTTTATCAAATAGAGTCCTTATTTGTAAAATAAGTTATAAGTTTTGAAATAACATCTACCAAACAAAGCCTAACATGCCACCCTTGGGATTGTTGGGAGTTGTGTAGGGGAGTAGTACTAGTAAATAGTAATACCAAAAGTCCAAAATTGACATTATTAGACAAAATTAGAATTTAAACCATAATGTAGTAGATCACTATAGTTTAGGAATTATTTCAATAATTTATTCAAATTATTTACCAACAAAAAACTTTCGTAATTAAATTGCTAGAATGCCTTGGTAATAAAGTTATTGCATTATTGGAGTATATTTTTACAAACCAAAGTTTGCCACCCAAAAAAAAAAAAAAAAAAAAAAAAAAAAAAAAAAAAAACGATTTTAATAACTGCGAATATTGTTACATTGCTTTCTTATATTTATCTCGTGTGACATTACTTAAATGATTTTTCTTTGTATTTGAGTACTAAGGAACATGTTTTTTTTTTTTAATTAAAATTGAATGATGTCAGATTAAATATTTATCACTATGTTAAAAAGTATAATTTGCCTATCTTAGACCCATGTGTCTCCTCCAATAATCTTTCTCACAATACTTGTATTGTCAAATCAAATACATACTACTATGTCAAAAGCTATAACTAATAGCAAAGACACAACTTTGTTTTATTATACTTGCGTAGCAATTAATAACACGTTTTTATGGTAAGATATTGGAGTTGCCCTTTCAAGCCTCCACCCAACAATTAATGTGTTGATAGTTAATAAATATAAGGAGTCGTCATAGCAAGAGTAGAAATTAAGAGATAAATTTAATGAAAAAATCATGTTGAGCTGAGGTTTGGAGGATTTCATGAAGAAAATTTTCACCTTTTGTGGGAAAGATAAATTTAATGAGAATATATATATTTTTTTAAGAAAAAGTAATTAGGCTACTAAATCATTAGCTAATTCTGTTGTCGGCAAGTCGGGGATGTTAATATTTTTTAATATTTAATTATTATTAAATGAACCAGTTTATTAACGGTCTATTCCGGAACAAAAAAAAAAAAATAGAAAAATGAAAATGGGGGGCCACTGGCTGCTTCTTTACTTGTTCTTCTTGGAACTGGCTACCTATTTCCCTTTATACGCAGCTTAAGTTTCCGACCAATTGCGGCCATATATGGATACAAACTTGAAACTTAAATGAACCCAAATATAGTAATTAATTAATTAATCTGGATATACTAGTTCTTATTTGTCTTTGATAGGAGTACTTTATCTTCAAAAGCCACTATAATCATATGTCTAAATTCAAGTTGTATTATGTGATTTGGTTATGATAGATGGTCCAAAGGAGTGTATAGTATTAATTCTTTTCAAAGTGTATAAGGGGTGTTTGACGAATAGATGTTAGCTGATAGTGGATTGACTTACCCGGTAGTTGTAGCGAATTGGATTAGGGAGTTTGGTAAATTAGTTGTTAGTTGATAGTTGATTACATATAAAATGACCTTTAAGGGTATAATTTATTTTAAAAAAAAAAAAAAAAAAGTTGATCGAAAATTTTTTGAGCAACTTTTTAAATTTTAGCGTTTTGAAGCACTAAACTGTTACGATATAAAAAAGCTGATTAACCAAACAATCATATTGGTTGTTTAACCAAGTCAATTCACAACTAATAGTGGTCAAACAAGTCAAAATTGATTGATAAGCTGACTATGTTACCAAATAGGATCATAGTTTTGCCAAGTTTGCCAGGTTTGAAACCACACGATATAGTTTTAGACATTCGATTTTGTTGGGCCGGGTTGTGGCTTGGGGAGTCGAGTTCAGTATCTCGTCATCAGACTATGAATCTGATTGCTAAGCAAGCATAAGAAAATAAAATTTGTTGCACCTTTGCTAAGCTATTAGGTATAACTTTTGATATAGTGATAAACACTTGATCCTACCATTAGTAACAAAGTCAGGGGGTCACGGGTATCGTTGCTGTTAGAGATCGACCGTGATCAGGTTTTTATGAATGCGACTACGTTTTAAGGTCGTGTCTTTCATAATAAAGATTTCGGTGTTACGTTGTTGTGCAATGTAATTGTGTTATGTACAGTATATACGTGAGTAATTGCGATTGCTTAATCATGAATCCAGAAATTAAAGTATGCTTTGGCCTGGAGAAAACGACCATAAATAGCACGATTTTTAAAGTTACTGCAAACCATTATGATTGACAAAATGGATTAAGATAATTAATAAGCCGCATTATAAGGACATAAAAAGTCACTAGCTTCAAGACATAACACGTACAATATAATATAATACATTTGGATGGATTGATGTTTTTTGCATGTTTCACATGATGGAGGAAAATACTATATATACGACGTATGAAAGTAATTAAAGTGGTGTACGAACGTAGGATGGGGGATGGAAAAGGACAGAAGATCTGTTGGTTTGATGCAAATGATTCACCGCATTTGATGTTAATAGAGATGGATGGATAGGAAGCTGAAGTCTAAAGTAATGATCAAATCATGTAATAAAGACGCTTATATATGACTTATGAGTGACTGAGGGATTTGAAAAGGAGCATCATCATTATTCTTAGCTTAGCTTTAAGGGGGAGCAATGGATCCTAGTTGCACATTTTTTTTTTCCATTTATATACATATATGTCTCTACATCTCTACAAACCTAATAAGAATCAATAAAGTTAAGTCCCTAACGAAAATTAAAAACTGTTGGTTTAATTATTAGTTGAAATGAATGGTAGTAGATTCATATTATTTTGGTTTTAGTATTTTTTTAATTATTTTTACTACTTTTACAATTTCACCCTCTATTATATCATTTACTTTAACTAAATACCCTTGCATTCCATCCGTGTAAACTTTAATAACAGAATATTCCGTTAACTATTTATTATTCTTAACTTAATCATTGATTTT